CTTAAAAATAGAAAAAAAATCACAACAAACAACACGAAGATTAGCCTTCCAGTTGTTACAACATTTGGTCTCCTTCTTCTCCTTTCATCACACATTTGTTACTTCTTTTAATATGATTTTCATCATCAATTTCTAACTCCTTAATTCTGTTCGCCAATCTCAGAATAACGAACTTGGATCGAATATCAACATCTTCACGATCCCCTCCATCTAAAGAAGTTGCATGCATTCTCCTAAAATACACACCACAAAGAAATTTAAATTAAAAAAAAACAAATAAAGAAGAAGTAATCCAGACTAAGATGTAGAAATGTACATACACGATAGCGTGGACAAGACCAAAATCTTCGACCTGGATTGTCCTTTGACCATGAAGTTTGCATTGAAAGTAAGTCTCCATGTTTGCAACAGATTTTCACACCCAACATGGGATCATTTTCATCATTACAAATTCGATTCAATATTGCATTTGACATTATATCAAAAGTAACAAAAACAAACAAAACTCATTCATTAGATCTAGATCTAGAGAACTGATCTATATTTAAAGAACTCAAAAATTCTTACCCAACGTAGTCTATATTTCAAAATTAATGATTTTATTTATTTGACAATACATGACATTGCTGAGATTTGGTTTAACCAAAGGCCAATCAAATTAGTTGTGTGTTAAAAAACAAAGAACAGAAAAGACTGATGAAATAAAAAACATCATTATATCCCATGCACTCCAGAGATCCGAGATCCATGCGAAGAAAGAGAAAGAAAGAGGAGAGAGAGAAAGCGCAAAGAGGAACCGAAATGAAGTGAAAGGAAGAAAATGAAAATCCTATTTTTGAAATGAAAATGAAAACCCTAATTTATATATATATCCCTTCTAGAAATGAAATAATGGGCCGATTGGGCCAGTTTTAGAGGTTGGGCTTGTCTATTTTTAATCGGATGTCCTTGAAGGGACAGGGCCAGGTTGGGCTTGCTTATGACTTTTATAAAGTACATACGTTTTTTAAGCTGTTGCAACATATGTCAATTATGTGTACATTCAAGTAGTATCACCATCAATAGAGAGGAGTTCAAGCACATAAACTTGGGAAACATTAAACATAAACATAAACATGTCATTGATAGTTGTTAGTTGAACTAGTGACATGCAAGGCTAGGCTAGACTACATATCCATATTTACAAGGCATTAACGCCAACAAAAACAACAAAATTTACATCTGAAATGCTCTAGCCCTATACTTCTACTTCAGCCAGCAAAAAAGAACTTGACTGGAGGATCTGGAGTCAACATTGAGCGATTAAACCTGGAGGGGCATCACCATTCTTTCTTGAAGGGTGGTGGATCAGAGCTACCCATGCATTCTGTCACAAGACCACCTACAGAAAAATAAACAACCATAGTTAACTACTCCATACACGCTGTTACAGTAGACATGATGTTATATATAAAGTAAGAAGACTTACCAAATGATGAAACTACCCTCCATTAGACAAAGATCCGACAAAAACAAACAACGAACATCACCCATGCACTAAGAACACACATGAAGAAGACATCACATTAACTAAGAACAACATAATTACGTTGATCACCCTCAACAAGAGCATGCAGAGACTTAAATTTGTCCAAGGTGGTAGCATCTTCTCAAGAAAATTTGAGTGTGATGTGAGGAGGAGAGGAGAAAGAATAAAGGGAACCCTAATTAACCCTTTTATAATGAGTGAGAATGAGTGGAGTGTGTGTTAGCGGAGTGTTCTAGAATGATCTGTTACATTACATGTTGAATTA